ATACTGGATTCCCAAGATTAAATTAATTTTCATACAAGTCTAGTATATATCAGCTAGTGTACAATTCTTGTATACTTTCTTCTCAATTAGACCCATGAACTGAATGTTTCTAATGCCTATTAAAAAACTTCAATTATTAGAATAGGGGTTGCGATCTTAGATCGAATGTTTAGGTTTATAACACAACATTCATAATATATTTGCAAGATGACTTATAAAAGACGAAATTTGTGCGTGTAATCTGATGCTGTTACATTTCTTCTCATTGAAATCAGTAGTAAAGGTTTAATAAAGACAAATTTGTAAAAAAATGTAATCAGTCTTATTGGTATGCATTTGGACCTTCCTTTAATTCAAGAAAGTCTTGTACATTTTCGTTTTGGCATAGATTGATGAGTTTTTTTTTTTTGCATACTTGAAACTTCAAGGAGTTCCATGTGTTGATATTCTACTATAGGAGGGAACTATCTATGTCAGTGCTTGTTTATACTTCACGGTCCCTTAACCATGTACCCGACGATTGTAAGTATATTGTAAAATTGGCTTCTTTGTGTTTTTCAAATAAGGACTTATCTAGACGATGGAGAAGGCGAGGCCTTTTTATCTAAAAAAAATGACTTCGCTTAAACAATTGAGATTTAAAGGTTCTTTTCAGGACCATCACATCCTGAGAAAGGAAAAGCTATGTTTACACATTTTACCTCTACTGATGTTTCTCATTTCTCATACTTACAATGAACATCAGCATTAATCTGTCTTGCAAGTTTCCAATTAATGAATACCTATAAATCCGAACAGCTAATTGAAGTTTTGTAAATACATTTTTGAGTATGTTTGACAACAGTCTTATTTAGAGTTTGTGATTTTACTTACTTACATTGTGGATAGTATATATGAGAATTGTATAAGCCAGCATTATTCACTAAGTTCCAAATCAGCAAGAAACAAACTCTATACCAAGATTTGTGAAAGGTAAGGATATAAGTTTCTATAATATTAATGGTTAAACATGGTTATTGACACAGATATTTTTACAATTCAATTATTGTATGTTATTTAGAGGTTTAGGTAAGCGCCCTTTTTCAGGGTGAATAAACGTTATACAGTACATTAATCATAGAAATGAAAACTACTGAACTGGCGATAAGTTTTTACATATAAAACATCATAAAATGCAAAAGGGTGACATACAAATTAAATTTAGAAGTGAAAAACTATAATCATATGCTACTGTACGTTAAATATGTTAGTAAGATTATCTGCCTATAAAAAAAGACTGCAAGGACCTTATTCATCTGTATATGGACAATATTGTATATATTATGGTTATTACTATTGTAGAAATGTGTCAAAACACAGACAGTTAAAGAAATTTATCTCTGAGAAGAATATTAATGATATGACTGTTCATAAATTTGTTGACATTTTCTTGTGAACGTTCTTTCCATGGAGTTACCATTCATTGTAGTCCAAATAGCCAGATCATTGTTGTGAAGTAATATATAAGGTGCAGACATATCAGGACCGAGTTTTTCGCGGAAGCAGGTCTTAACATGTTAAGTACTACAATTGAATTATTAATGTCTTAACAAGCTATTATACTAACTATATTTCAAAATAGAGCCAGTAAATTAAACTTACAAGAATTTACTAACATGAATCTTTGAGGTACAGTTGATAAGATGAATTCATTCTAGAGTTTTCAGAAGATTTCTCTGTAAATCTTCTACATATGACGAGGTCAAAATGTGTTAGAAAAAATAATATTCAATACCTCTAACTATTATGTGTATATTATATCATCATCCTGAATAAAAAAAACATGATAATATCTTGTATGTATTTATTAAACGTAAAAGTAAACAGTTGTCAAATCAATAAAAAAAACTATTGTAGTTAATATGCATCGTAATATGAAGGCAATGGATCACAAAGACGATAAAAATATGCCATGTTACTACTGTTTCCATGCTTCCTGGTAACCGACTGAAAATATGAAGTTGTGTTGAAATCAGCTCAACTAATGTAGATAAACTGTTGACTAATAATTACTGTTACGGTTTATGCGCGTTTTCGATTATATGTTTCATAATTTTGTTTCGATCAAATTTTTAGTAATTATCCTATTCTTTCATGGCTGCTGGTCTAAATAAAAAATACAATATAATACCTTTTTATAGATCCCGATAGGTAGAGCCACACACTGTACCGAATTTATATAAAAGTATAATAGGTTATATTTAGCAGCAAAGAAAAAAACCACAGCCTCACTTCTGGAAAATCATCCCATATTAAACTTGTTTATTACCTACATATTAATCATGTAATTAATTAACAAAATTTAATTGGATAAAAATTGCTTTCAATTTGTATATTAATTATCTAATTAATTAATTTGATTTGCATAATATTCGCCCTATTAATTAGTTATCATGCAATTAATAAACCATTAGTTAGACATTAATCATTTATTTACATCTAATTTATATGTAATTAACCTTTAATTAATAAACCATTAATTATATACTAATTATTAATTAGCATACTATTTGCATATTAATTATTATGCAGTCACAATTCCATCCACATACTAACTACTTAGACACCATACCTATCATTGCACGGTCTACCCATCAAGGTTTATTTCTTAAAAGTGACAGTCGTTTTTATTTGAAATAATACCGTACATTATTAAATAAAGACTGATCAGACACTTTATTAAAATCTTACCATTTATTGCACATTTTACATGATACTTCCATTTATTTGCATATTATAATTTACACCACTTGTGCATCAACCATTTAGTTTAATTGGTATATCCGTATTGAATTACATAAGATTAAAAAGACAGTTTCTTGTTCGTTGATTACCAAAATATACCATTTCTTATGCCTAAATTGGGACTGTTTTCTAACCAGACTTTGACCCTTCAAAATATTTATACAACTATGTAATAATATTGCTCTTACTAAAATCAAGTTTCACTATAACATAAAATACAAATAGATATTAAATAATACCATTATGTTACATAACAGATTAATCTATGCATATACTTTGAAGATGTAATATCCAGTCAGAATGATCACTAAAATAACTGGCTGTCCCATCGTGGGTCAGAGGTACGTTTACGGACTTACAATGGTAAGATCCAGAGTTCTATTTTACGTGGTAAACAGAGAACAAATCGCTCATTATGTACCTATGTGCTAAAAATACAATGACAACAGTTACTCCATGTGAGTACAGACTAACAACAACGGCGATCGAAGGACAATATTCCTGCCACTAGAACAAAAACTTTAACAGGTGATGATAAATGATGATTGGACATGCATATTGCAAATGTATAATACATCAGACTGTGCTCCAGTTGATTGATCTTTTTCAGCTGTGGTGAGTATTCGACCATCTTTAAGCAAACCATGTGAAGGGCATTAAAAAACTATCATATCACATATTTTAGAAATAAAGAAGAAAGCGTGGCATAGAATGCCTATCATGCATACTGTAGGTAATGAATAACTGGAGTAAATGCAATGATGAGTTGCACTACATTCTGTATTGACACTAGAAGGTAAAATCACACGAGGCATTTGACATGTGCAACCTGCTGGAAGTGTTATAATGGTGTGGGGTAGATTCTTGTCAGTAGTACGATTTTTTTAAAAGGATGAATAACACTCAGAATGAATCTGAATGTTTTTGCCAGTCATGTCCCACTCATAATGTTGTATTTCAACACTGATGAATAAAGGCCCTTCCAAAGTGGCTCCTAATAGATAAATAGTAAGCTTGAAGGCAAATAATGTTAAAATGTAGGATTTGATCATATGCCACCCCTAAATTATATATATAGTTTGTGGGTCATGGTTATGCAGAATGGGTTCTAATTGACCTTGTGACATGCCTACACTATGTATATGGTTTGTGTGCAATGGTTATACAGCATGACTTCTCCTAACCATATTCCAGACCTACACTATATATATATAGATTTTGTGCAGTGGTTATACAGTATGACCTCTCCTGACCATCCAAGGGCTATAATATTCAAAGTTAAATATTACAAACATACTGAGCTTCCAACTACACTAAATCATGTAAACAACTGATACTCTTCTAAAATTGGCTAAAGTGCGGCTGTCTTTCCAGTTTACAATCCACCACAGTTGCGATGAGCTTCATCTTGACTGTGTTTAAACACAAGAAAAGCGAAGTTACTAGTTTCGTTTAAACTGACATAAAAAGTTAACGGTTAAAACGATATATAGATAATTCTAGTGAAAATCATAAATACAAAATAAAGAAATAAAGATTATGTACTGACTTGATTAAGATTTTTTTATTGTCGTCCACGGAAGTGATGGAGAGCTTATATTTTTACTTATTGATTTAAATGTCCCAACCACCTGTAAGTCATATATTTCTCTTCATGCAAAACTAATTCGTTGGTTTTGAAAGAAAAAGTGCTCTTCCAAATTTTCGGAAAGGTGTTGATAAGTTTGTATGTTAATACTAAAAATCTGGTTATATGTTTAGAACATACAAAATGTAATAAAATGGCATTCAAAGTGTTAGATGTACTTTTGCTACTACCTTTTTATTAAATTATCAGTGTATGAGCTGTCTGAATACACAAAAGTGTAGAAACCGAGTTATATATGAAGTATTTTACAAAAGATATACTTTTTTTAAATCCTGTTCAAATTTTGCTGAATCTTGTCAAGTGTCTACCTCTCGCTTTGTTGTATATGAGCTTTTAATGCTCTTGTATTTTGGGATGTGTCATCAGATGTTATTATAAATGTTAGTGAAGCAACTTTCTGGATTCTGGCCATGAAAGTGGGAACCGGCGTTTGAGAAAAGCCCTCATAATTTCTTGTAGTGCATTGCATTTAATGTGTTCAAAGCAGTTTAAAGTTTTATTACTACAGCAGGTTATACCTTTCCTTAGATTCCTATTAAAAAGGGTCTGTTCAAGAAATAAAACTTACCTTTACATTTCAGTCCCTGGTGAATCAGCCCATAAAGAATAGAACCACAGTGATCGCAAAAATTGGGACTTGTATAGGTATGAATCGTAAATTGGTGTTTGGTCCGGCTGTCCTGTTTAAAACAGAATATTAGTCAAAACAATTCTACATTCCTATCATGTTAGACTCAAGGTTAAAACGAAAATCTTATTGATTCATTGTCGATCTAGTACAAACATTTGAAAAATGGATATCAGTAGTTGTCACAAATCCCTGACATATTTTAATATGTGACTAGGTTACCATCAACATCAAACCATACAGGGTCATGCAAAAGTGTGTACCACTATGATATTTCTATGTCTCGCTATTACTGGGATTTTTCTAAGGCATTTTTGGGTTTCTTTATCCTTGGTTATAATAATTAAATGGGATGCCATTCATCTTGAAATAATTGGTGGAAGTGATCCTGTTGTGTAGCGATCCTTGAATGAGGCTGGTCCTGACAGAATTACCATTGAGGAATCCTGGAAAAGAGTTTCCTTTGTCTCACTTATGTATTAATCATTTTATTTCCCAATTTTGTGAAAATGTATGTGTGGTTGAACTTAAACACGCTTGAAAACCTTCTACAGTAATGATTGTGTTAGACATGGTGGCAAGTCATCACTCGCATTAAAAGTCCTGTCAGATACGGTGGCAAGCCATCGCTTACAGTAATGATCTTGTAAGACGGCCTCTGCTTGCAGTAATGATCCTATGATATGATGGTAGATAATAGCTTACAGTAATTAGTGATCGTGTTGAACATAGTAGCAAACCATCACTTACAGTAACACTCATGTCAGATATGGTGGCAAGCCATCGCTGACATTAACAATCCTGTCAGACTTACATTAACAATCCTGTTAGACATAGTGGCTATTGCTTACATTAATGATCCTGTCAGATGACATAGAAACAAGACATTACTTAACATACCCATGGTCAAACCACCAAAATGGAAGAACTTAAAGAAGCTTAATTCAGATTCTGAAGCAACACAACTTCCCTACTTGAAAACTAAACTATCTCAGCTGCTGATACTGGTCCAAACATTTTTAATCTGAGTTGCAGTAACCTGAGACCAAGAAGTGGGCAGTGTAATGGTCTGATGTGACTTGATTATCATGTTGTTGGTCCATTTTTCTTTAAAGGGATACTGACCGGAGAAAGCTACGATGCCCTTTTGAAAGAATACATTGACCCAAGATTTATTTAGAGTTTGTGATTTTACTTACTTACATTGTGGATAGTATATATGAGAATTGTATAAGCCAGCATTATTCATTAAGTTCCAAATCAGCAAGAAACAAACTCTATACCAAGATTTGTGAAAGGTAAGGATATAAGTTTCTATCCCGTATGAAATGTAATTTCGACATATGCACCACCCCACTATGTATTTGATTTCAAGCACAGCGATCAAGGCTCAGTGATATGACCTGTATTTTATCCCAATCTTATACTATTAGGGTTTATCTTTAGAACGATACGTCAAACACTTGGTGTTTGTTACACATCCAAAGAGTAAAATTACATCATGATATCAATGGTGCACATTTTGAACTGCTGTGAGGACAAGACCTAGAAAGATTATGGTGGTGCACAACTTTCGCATCCCTTCTATATTACTAATAGATAATGATATAATAGTTCAAAATGTTGATATAGTAAAAATCTTCCATTTGTGTTTCTAAACATGCTATATAAACAGAGACACAATGTTCTCGGTTACTTTATATCTTCAAACTGACCACACATCTTTATAAGCTTTCTATTGACTATTTACTAGACATAAACCTTGATATTCTTGTCTCATGAACAATAACAGTACATATGACCAATGTCATCGCAATGGTTTTTGAATATGGGCATTGGACATACTGGCTTGGGTGTGGTTTCAGAGTCTGTTGCCGTTCAAAATACTCTACTATGCAATTTTATCCACCTACATAGAAAACAATGTCATTTTGTTCTACATCTTCAGTAAGGGCATTGACAAACTCTTTCAGCCATAAGTGTACTAGTAGCAGTACCGCATTATCAGATGGTCTGTATATATATATACATAGAAGATTCATAGTACCTAGGCTATCTTCTGCATCAGTACACTGCTTTTCAATCACATGCTTGCTTGACACTTAAACTAAATTATTTTTAGGAAAATCTTGTAAGGATAGCAATGAATATATATATTTTATTGTATTTTTGTTCTAACGAATTACGATTTTTTTAAATTCATGATAAACCTGTGAGGACTGATAATTCAAATATAAAAAAAATACGTTTATATTTCACAAAAGACCCAGCGGACACACACACACTTCAATGTTTGAACATATAATGCAAACAAAATAGCAACACATAATGATATTGCAAGCATATGAAGAGAAAAATCATGATTATTTTGTTTCAATAAACAGAGTATATATAGCAAACATATGTTTTATACTATGCAACATGTTATATCAACGTTTTTTGAAAGTACATATATGCCTATATTCTTTGAAACATACATACAAATGATACTATTTTACTTTGCTCTGATTAATATTATAAATTTATTAGGTTCATCAGATCTAGAACAGAGCAAAGCAGAAACATTTCTTTTCAACATGTAGGCTGAGTTTTCTGTGGGATTCCTCTGAGGTTTTGTTGAATTTCGAGACGACATTTTGTGCTCATGAAGTCTTTCATCAGGTCTATAACATTCGTGAAAAGAGAAGAGATAGTAAAGCAGAAGTATGGCCTTCACAGGGAACTCTCAACTATGAAGAAATCTGATTGGTTATTGGAAATTTTGTTGAATCCTGTTTTGTTGAGTGTTTGCAAAAGTTGATTTCAGATATTGTAGGTTATAGTCTTGGATATCGGTTGACTTTTGTTTTATTCATCTTTATTCTGAGCGTTTATTTAATTTTTCTAACTTTCCAGTGTTGTGCAGTATATTCGGTTGTATACTTGCCTCTTTCAAATGAGTGCCCCGTATTGTAAGAGGTTCATTTATGGAATATTTTCTTTTTCTGTGTGTGTAGGAGCTTTGTTACAGCTGCATGGTCTTTAACTCTCCCACTGATAGTTTGGAGCTTCACCATGTTGTTACAGTTCGTGTCACCATGCCACATTCATGCTCTATCTGACAACCTTACTTCTTGACAACGGCCCTACAATTTAGTTTCCATTGCAAAAGGTTCCAGCTTAAAGCTCTCATATACAAAGCACATCACTTCTCCCAGCATGTTTCCAAAACTCTATTGTGTACCAGAACGACGGTCTCCCAGCGCCCATTTTAACATTCCGATCGCACAAAAATCCATAGGCGCCGTGTCCACCACCTAGACTGGTATGTCTTTGTTTGGAATAGCGTGAATATCCATTTCATTATCTAGCTGCTTGAGTATGAAAAAGTTGGAAAGATATGTCATAAAAGCAACTTGTGTTACTTTTACAGGTGGAGATCCTTTTTGATTTTCTTGCATACTGTTTCCTGGGGCATGTGGAAGGTTTTTCCCACTAGCCTTTGTGTTCATGGATACAATATTGATGTTAACGAATGTCACTCACAAATGAATGCCTGAATGTGCTGGAAGATCTATGTTTAGATACAGTATCTACCTACTGGCAGGTGGCGTTACACAAAAAAATCCTTTTAGCATTCACTATGGAACGTATAAATATTTCATCAATGCCATTTGGTCACTTTGAAGTGGCTAATGAAACTTACATTGCATGTGTTAAAATAAGAGAGGAATCTACTATATGTGAAAGACATCTTGATGTGTGTGATTGTATGTTTCAGACCATAGTTTAGAACCTCAGAATGACATTTCATCGTAATGGAAAGCAGGCTAGAAACTTAAGCCAGGAAAATGTGAATTTATGTTTAATGTTGTGGCATTTCTATGCCTTGTAGTAGACGGGAATGAAATGTCTCCAGAGCCTGTTGAAAGTACATTACAATAAAATTGGCCTCGGTCTACAGCCAAGAAAAAAGTATTGTATAGATTTCTCAGTACGTATTATTATTATATCGATGATTTATGGCCAAATATGTCAGGACATTTACCCCATTTTATTAACTAATTAAACTTGGTGGCTATTCCAAATAAAACTTTGAACAAAAACTTCAGATACTTAAATACACATCACTTGAAGTACTGTAGCTGTAGTTGACTTACCCTCAAGTCAAGTACCAGATTTGTAGGAATAGTGTAAAACATATACCTATTTATGCTAGTCATGTGCTGACTGTTGCTAGACGTTATTACTGAAATAACTACATGCAATTTAGTATTTTTAAGCATTACTGCCACAAGTTTTATAAATGGGACTTCATTGAAATAATTTTGAATTATAAACTCCTAGAAAGAATGATCATACATTATCGTTATAAAACAAGTAATAACGCTGTAAAATTACATTAATGTCCAAATTTCTTGGAATAAGGGCATTTAATGCAGATATGCCTTCTTGCTAGATGATATGAACTTCTCTAGTTGTAGAATATCCTAACCGTAGACTATCACTATCTGTTTGGCAGTAGCTTGATGTCATTAAAGGCCATTCACTTTAACAGAGAATCACAGCTTTCTTCTTGAATTTTCTCTGACATAGCTGGTGTTTCCTTAAGCAATAGATAAAATATTATATCATCTCTTTAAATTACATTGTAAATATAGCCAAATAGCTACTTTTACATGCATATTGATGTGCGTGGAACTCCTTGATGTTCTCCAATTTCTACATTATGTAACACTATTAACATCTCTTGTCTCAGACATCCCAGAACCATTAGTTGTGGCAACATATATAATGTGAATAATAGTAATGTTACAGAAAACCAACTCAAATTTCTAACTGACCATATGCCAAAGGCTCTGTATGTCCAAATTGCATTCAATACTTTTTGTTAGGGCTTCAGCTTGCTGTAAAGTAAGTATTTCCAAAGCTAGATGTGGGTCCTTACATTTTTCCTCCTGACGCTCTTGAGTCGTTAAAGGTGGTGTTCATTCATTAGTGGAATCCTTACAACTTCTATGGTGACACATTACTGAAGTTCTGATGACTTTCACAGCAGTATACTGTCATAAT